GCGCGGTCAGCTTCGGCTTGTGTACGTGGACTCGAAGGCCAACACTGCTGATATCTTCACCAAGGCGCTCCCGCCTAGTGATCATCAGCGACACTGTACTTCTTTAGGCCTTGTGTCCACGTTTCCTCACTTGCTCACTGCTTGACATTCTTTGTACTGTACTTTATATATATCTTGTTGCTTGCTTGCTAGGTTTTGATCACTGTGTTGCTTGTCTTGTACTATATCTAGCACTGCATGTGAACTGGCCTTGTGGCCTTTACTTGTGCTCGAAGTGTGGTGACGTTGTGATCCACCCTGGGCTTTGTTTTGCTTTGCTGGACTGGTCTTGTGACCCTTTGTGCTCCCCCACTTTGCCTATGGGGGTGTGTTAAACTGTATTATGCTTGTAGGCTGTAGTGGGGTAGCCAATATGGGGTACAACCCCAACTAGGGTTTGATATTTGTACCCAAACTTCTGTTAGTTCATTCATTCTTGGCTAGTTATTCTGACAGAACAAAGCCCTAAAATATTTGATATAAAACGTTTTGATTGTTCGTCGGGAGGTATTATTGTTTATTATCGAAAGCCTATCAAAATTTTACGATACTTGGAAAATTCTAAGATTGAATTGATGTCTTTCTTGATTGATATCGAGAATGACCAATTGATAATTCATTGTTGTTGTCGTAATCCTACGGATCATCGTAATATCAGTACACTTTATGAGATGCTCTCATTTTACATTGATCAAAACCCTAACGCAAAAATGATATTCATTGGTGATTTCAACATAAATCTCAATACTGTATCTCAGCCTCGGTATGAAAATTTTTTCTCGATACATGGTTTCATGCAATTTGTACTTGAACCAACAACAGTATATAATACACTTATTGATCACGTTTGGTCAAACTCTTTTCAATCTCGTCTTAAAATTCATGTTGGCGAAACATATTTCTCAGATCATTTCCCCATTTATGTTCATATTTCATGATATGTTTCATATTCTGTGCAGCAACTCCTCCTTCTCGACACAACACTGGTCGGGTGAGTGCCATAAAAAACGGAATACTTTTTCCAAATGTAAGACAGCCCAATTTCTAATTATTTGAATACTGCTTTTTATTTCAGGCTTCTGCTGAGACGCGGTTCAAGAAGCTTGAACCACTTGTAGTGGGCGGAAAGAAGATAATGGATTTCCATCTCAAGTTCGTTGTCCTTGGTAGAGACCTTGCACAGCCAACGGACAGCAGTCGTTTCACACACCCGGCAAAGTTGCCATCTTTGAGGGCTTCAATGTTGCTGAGATTGTTCTTTGGCCTGAGGCAACAGGCCAAGGAAAATGTGATGCGGAGAGCATCAATGCGTTCGTGATGAGTCTTTCGATTGGAAAGATTTATCAAGTGCACCGCATCGATGCTGTACCCGGGCAAGTTGGATGGTACGTGCTATATTTGCATAACATGCTATATATCTCAGTTTGTTTTCCCATGTTTTAAGATTCACAACATATATTCTTAATGCAGGAAACGAGTTGGCGGTTTGGACATCCAGTTCAACTGGGTCCACCGCTGTTCTTATATGATTGAGGCAGTTGGATCGGAGGAGCTGGATGTAGGCAATGTGCCTACAGCATCTTTGAAGAACTTCTACGAGATCAAGGATCTCGAGCGGGTAAGTGCTATAACTTGATTCATATATGTATGTTTATATATTTATGTTATAGTTTTTTACATATTGTTATATTGCTATAGTATTTATATTGCTAAACTTTGATCATTTGAGTCTAAGTCAACATATTAAGATCGACATGATATGGTGTAATGATTGTATATTGATTTGGGTTTAAGGTTTACGTGAGACAATCATATAGTTGGTCACCTGTATAACTTTTGAATGCCTTCAACTATTGTGATATAATGTTATTTGTGTTATGTTCATGTGTTAAGGTATGTGTTTTGTTCATCATTTGTTGTTGTTCCCAACACATGACACGTATGAGACTCATTCAATTGTATGAAATGAATATGACAATATTTTCTGCATACTTTTTGTGTGTTTTTTATTTCTTCTCAGGTTCCATCCATTGCTGTCAAGTTGCATGTCACATCATTTGAACCAAAAAACAATAACACGCACAAATTGGTCGCTTGCATTCACGACTCATCCACAGATAGTGCACTGATTGCACTAGGAACCACAGCATCGCACATCAACACATGCTTCGAGAGCTATGTGCATGCGAACAAAGAATGTTCGCATGTTCCTGTGTACTTGAACAACGTGTACTTGAAGTCCGCTGTTTTCAAGACGACAAAGCAATCCAGCATTGTCATCCTTGACGAGAAGTTTGCGTCAAAAATCCCAGATGTTCCTCCACGCGACGGAGTCGTTGACGTGGGCGTTGTCGAACTGTAAGTAAACGTGACCACAATTAGCGTTTCTTTTCGTGTTTACATGTTTCTTATAATATTATATCATTTTGCGTCCAGGATGACTCATGTCGACGTACTCGTTCACACCACAAAAAGGGAGAAAATTGCTTCGTTTGACGCGGAAATCCAAGACCCACGACACAACAGTCGCACAATGTGTACCGTGAAGTGTGGAGATGCGATTTGTGGCATGCCTATCTACACATCGATGGTCACAGATTTGGATGAGTGTGTGAAGCACGGAACTGCTTCAATCTCCAAGAACGACAATGTCACCATCACTCTTGCTGTGACCGAGAGTGGTGAGTTCTTAAGATATTGTTATACTACAACATTTTTCGACTATGTCCAACAATACACCAATGGCATGATCTTGTGACAATTTTTCTTTGTCGTTGTTTCTTTAGGAGCCTTCAAGAGCCGATCCCGCAACATGGTATTGGAGCCGAGGCTTATGGCGAAGATGATTCCAAATTTTCAGATTGCCGATTTTCTTTCATCCTCTGACGACGAGCGAAGGCGTTTATTGCATGCATTGTGTGGTGTTTGGCGTGTGAAGGTGAGTTTTTTTATCCATAAAATGACCCACCTTTCATGCATTCATACTTGATTTGCATGTTACATACCATATTGATGCGTTTCCACCGAGACTAACATGACACTGGGCTTGTTTCCTCTGCCTTCTTATTGCTTTTTTTCTTTTGTTTCCCTCTTTTATTCTATTCTATTCTTTTATGTGTGGGGCAGATACATTTCCGCTATGAGGGATTGCGGATAATTAAGAGCATTGCGGATATCATGAGCATTCGAGCACCTTCAGGCTTGGATGCTTCAAGCATGCCCACACCCTGCTCTTCTTCTAAGAGATCTTTTGATGTAAGTGTTTGATATGAAGTGTGCAACTACATTTTAAGTATAATATTGATGTCATTCTTCAAATTTAAAGACTACCGTACTTTATCTGGATCTGACCCATTGATTTCCAACCGTTTGATTCTTTTATCAATATGCATTGTTGCCTGCAGGTCATTGAGTAGAATGTTAATGATATTGATGTAAGAACTACACCTTAGTTTTTATCGTTCACTAAGTTCAACTTCCTTCACGTTCCGCTTCATTTGTTTGTATTGCATGTATTCTCTTGTTTTTTTTTTTTCCCCTTTTCGTTATATTCAGCGCCTTAATATCACATCTTCGTATGCGTACTGTTTATGTTATTCACGCCTTTTTTAACTTGCAGGTTTTGCAAGATGACATCTTCTACAACAACGTTTCTTTAAGCATACGCGTGCTTAATACTATTCTTCTAGATAACATATATTTAATTGCTAGCATGACTTCTCATAATAATGCTTTTTCATGTGGTGCTTATGGTTGCGTTAGTAATGCATGTCTGCGCGTCACAAAGAGATGACTTGCCGATCATCGTCACACAAGGTTCAGTGGTGTACCACTATGACAGTGAAGCCATTTTGAACTGGACTTGATCGATGTCTTTGAGATTCGCAGATTGCATTGCTTATGTTATCTCCCAACGTCTATACTACTCAGTTTCCCCCCCACGCTAGGCTGGGGAAACGGTAGCATACGCTTTGAAAACGGCAAACGTTACATAAACTGCTAATTTTAAAAACCATGAAATATGTTCACCGATTTTCTCGATGAATATATTTCAATATCGTATTTCACTTTCAAATTCAACAATACACTTCTGTAATGATCGTTTTACACGACCATTATAGCTATCAGTATTGTTTCTTTAATGGATTTTCTTTTTTCTAAAATTGCAATAATCAAGATTTTCAGTATGTAAATATTGTTAACGGATTCCAATGTATTACGTTGAAGGTGAGGTGAGCTTACGGTGCATTAATACGAGGCTAAAAATAGTATTAAATTAATTGATTAGATTCATTATTTGTTCTTTGAAGAAATAATGACCTATACTGTATGACCGTTATGAAAAGATTATCAGGTTTTTAGTTATTTTATATTCTTTCCATATAATATGAAACATTCTTTAGTTATTTTCTTTTTGTAATAAACAAATAACAAAAAAATTGGAAAAAAAAAATTCCTTTAGGTCGATTGCAATAGGTTGCTTCGCAACCCAAAAACCTGCAGGGACATACGCAGACAGCCCTGCGAACATCCGCGAAAATCAATAACCAGCCAACAGTTCGTGAACTTTTCCCGAAAAGAGTCTCCCAATAGACTGTCCTTGTATAGCCCCTCAGAGGTTGAACAAACGTGTGTAGGAAATAGAACCTGACAAGTCAATCATCTATATTAAGTCAGTGTATTTGAGATTGGTCCTACATCTTGCTTCTCAAACCCCCATTTCTAAATAACAGACCTGCAAGGTCCGTTATTGCATATTATTGCACTTCTGCCCAAACGTACAGCACATGCCTCCATCCATCCCATTTCGTCGATCGGAGCTGCGATATAGCGTCCCATCCACAAACGGGGATCCCCAATACCGTGACACTGAAATCGTTGATGCTGCTGGTACAGAGATTGGGCATAACATGCCCGATGGTGGTACGTAGCGTTAAAACCCCTGCCGTGTGACGCGTGCGTCAGTCGGAGATGCGGATTTCCACATGGAGAAGATCCCTCATTATCTCATACGTGACAAACGCAATGGCAATGGATGGCACCACCTGGCGTGTGTGTGGAATAGGGGCAGAGAGGAACAGGAATACACAGAGAGGTTCCAAAAATAAGAGACACTTGACGCAGGTACCTTTTAATCTCGTACCGTGACAAACGCAATGGCTATGGATGGCACCACCTGGCGTGTTGGATGAATGGGGGCACAGAGGAACAGGAACACGCGGAGTTGGGAACAAGGCCTTTATAGAGAGCCAGCGCCCTCACCCCTTCCATCTGCACGGTCTTCCTGAAAGCATCCACCATCCCCGTGTACTGCGGCGCCGCTGCCACCGTGCCATCCGCCGTCACCACACTCAGTGCCATCCGCCGTCACCACACTCAGTGCCATGCCTGCTCCCTGCTGCCCTCTCATTCACACTCGTTTTGCACGCTGCTTGCTCTCACCACACAGGCACAAAAATAGCACGACTCAGCATCTCTCACCTTGACGGAATTTGGCACAAGTCCCTTATAAAGCGCCCGCACCCCCTCCATCTGCACGGTCTTCCTGAAAGCATCCACCATCCCCGTATACTGCGGCACCTCCCTCACCACACACAGAGCCCAAACGAGCACATGCCAGACTCTCTCACCTTGACAGAGTTGGGGACGAGTCCTTTATAAAGCGCCCGCACCCCCTCCTGCTGAACCGTCTTCCTGAAAGCATCCACCATCCCCGTGTACTGCGGCGCCGCTGCCACCGTGCCATCCGCCCTCACCACACTGGCCGCGTCTCGCCACCCCACCATCTGCAGCCTCCTTCTGATCACATCCAGGGGGTATGCCACGGTCTGCCCGAGAGTCCCCGCCACGGCCCCGCATGCGAGCTTTGTCAGGACTGATAGTTCGCCCATCTCGGGGTTGTCGGGGTGCTGTGCTGCGTACATTCGAGCGAGGGAGTCTTTTAAGGTTTCGTAGACTGCAAAGTTGAGGCCCACGTAGGGGACCTGGGGGGTTGGGAGATGGGAAAGGGGCATGGGACATAGCGGAGGAGAGTGAGGGAGTCCTATAGAGTCTCATAGACTGCAAAGTTGAGACCCACGTAGGGGACCTGTCGCCTATTTGTCCGGCCAGCCAATGGCGTGCAGGGAATGGTTGAGAAGAGGATCGATTGAGAGTTTTCCTCACTTCTCTGCACGCCAGCTGTTGAAAATTGTTAAACTAAATATGTGGCGGTTCACAATCGCTCATCATGGCGCTTTTCCACTGCATTCACTGTTCAAGATTATCAGTTACAAATACACTCAATATTCACTGCAATCGCCTTTGACTGCAATGACCTCACAACAGGAGCCATTAACACGCCTCCTCTCTCACTACAGACCCTCTTTTTTACAGTCACCTTCCACTGCAATCACTCACTGTAAAATCCACTCACCACTCCGATAACAGAAGGTAACCAGCCCCTGTAGAGAGCGTGAACGCCCTCCTCCTTCACTATAGTCACATCTTCTATAGCCACTGTCACAGAACAGCCACTCACCACGCCAATGACTGACGGTAACCAGCCCCTATAGAGGGCGCGAACGCCCTCCTCCTTCACTATAGTCACCGCCGCGTGCCGCATGCCCTTGTAGCGCTGCTCTCCCTTCCTGCCGGACTGGTGATGGTGGAGGTGGTGAGGGGAGGGGGAGCGCCAACAGTGCACAGAGAAGGGAGGAGGGGGTCAAGGTGGGTAGGCCAACATGTCCTGCCCTTTCATGCCATGCCCCACCTGCACGGTATACATGGCAATGATGCCAAACATTGTACAGTATACCTCCTTGCCAACACGTCATGTCACGCCACGCCATGCCATGCCGTGCCATGCCATGCACGGTGAGTCGCGTTGCCCTCGAACCATGTCCATGGGGTGGGTGGCAGACATGGCAATGATGTGAAGGTGTGTATGTATTCACAGCAGCTAACCCACTGACAATGCACCCACCTGCACGGTAAGGCGCCCGCGGACCATGTCCATGGGGTACGTGGCTGACATGGCAATGATGCCAGTCAATGCCACACATATTCAATGTCTTATGCCTCTTCTGCCCGACTCACGTGCACGGTGAGGCGCCCTCGAACCATGTCCATGGGGTACGTGGCTGACATGGCGATGATGCCAGCCCATCAACCCATACACACTCGCACAATCACAGGAGCTAACCCACCCACCGGCCCTTCCCCACCCACCTGCACGGTGAGGCGCCCTCGAACCATGTCCATGGGGTATGTGGACATGGTTCGAGGTAAAGCGGTAGGTGATCAGGCAAAAAACTTGACCGACCCATCAGCACTTCCCTACACACCTGCACTGTTAGTCGCCCTCGAACCATGTCCATGGGGTATGTAGCAGACATGGCGATGATGCCTGCTGTCGCCCCTGCCCCCAGCCGCAGCACCGGTGTCAGCTCCATGTCTGAAGGAAGAGAAAGGAGGGGAGGGGATTATGAGGGTGATTGGGGGTGCATTCAAAGGTCTTCTCCCCACCGCAGCACCGGTGTCAGCTTTAAGTTTGACGGGAGAGGGAGGGGGGAAGAGCGGCGGGTGGAGGGGTAAAGAGGAGGATGAGAAGGGCGAAATGAAACTAGTACCATGCCTCAGATTACAGAGGCAGGAGCAAAAGCAGAGGCAGAGGGAGAGGCAGAGGCAGAGGAAGAGGCAGCGGCAGAGGGAGAGGCAGAGGCAGCGGTTGTGAGTGTGGCAGGTACTCACTGGGATCATTGGACTGCTGCTGGGCCAGCCAGAGAAGACCACTGCAGGAAGGAGGGGTGGGATGGGGGACGGAGAGGAGAATGGTTCGACGGAGAAAAAAGAGAAAGAGAGAACTAATGAAGGACCATTCAAGAGAGAACAACAAGACAACCAACCAAGACAAGGTGACGGGAGGTGTGAAGGTGACAAGAAGGCACAACGAAGACACAGGGGGACAGGTGGTGTGAATGCCACCTTAGAGGGGGGCGATAGATCACTGAGTAACAACTCACTGAGCGGCTTCCTCATATGCAAAAGAACTTGACAGCAGAATTGGGCACAATGCGGGCGAGCATAACCAGAAGAGCCATCGCTGATCTATAAGGGGGACAAATGACTCACTGAGCGGCCTCCTCATAAGCAAAGAACTTGACGGCTGAATTGGGCACGATGCGAGCACAGTTGGTGCCATTGCCACGGAACAGCCCTCGTATGCCCTCCTCCCGCCAAATGGTCTTGAGGCCCTGCCACGTGCCGCTGTAGTGTGCGTGCTGTGCATTCTGCACCTGGAGAATTGAAATGCGGAGAGAGAGAGAGAGAGGGGTTGAGGAAGGAAGGAGGGGGGGTGTAGGATTGGGATGGGAAGCACGACTTAACAGCCCTCGGATGCCCTCCTCCCGCCAAATGGTCTTGAGGCCCTGCCACGTGCCGCTGTAGTGTGCGTGCTGTGCATTCTGCACCTGGAGAATTGAAATGCGGAGAGAGAGAGAGAGAGGGGTTGAGGAAGGAAGGAGGGGGGGTGTAGGATTGGGATGGGAAGCACGACTTAACAGCCCTCGGATGCCCTCCTCCCGCCAAATGGTCTTGAACCCCTGCCACATGCCGCTGCAGTGTGCATGCTGTGCGTTTTGCACCTGTGATGTTGGGAAGGGGAGAGAGACGGGGGGGCTAGAAGGGGCGTTCTAGTCACAGAGTTGGGGCTCTCATGCTTCCTTCACCGCGAGAGGGAATATACTACAGAAGCAGAAGCAGCAGCAGCAGCAGCAGCAGCAGCAGCAGCAGCAGCAGCAGCAGCAGCAGCAGCAGCAGCAGCAGCAGCAGCAGCAGCAGCAGCAGCAGAGCAGCAACACCACCAGCTCAAACAGAAACACCAACACCGCCAACATACCTGCAGCAGGATCTTCATCCGCTCCAAGGGGGCCACAGCCGACCTCGACCTGCATCCATGCCAGCATGATATGCCATGCCATGCGATGCCATGCCATGCCATGCCATGCCATGCCATGCCATGCCAATCCATTCCACAACCAGGGGGGAGCATGGGGAATGAGGAGGAGGGGGGAAAGAGGGGGGGAGGGGACACAGGGTTTAACATTTAAGTCCAATCCTGGATAAACCCTGGGGTATTTCCAATAACCCTAGTAGTGACAGGTTGCAGCTAGTAAAAAAGCACGGCCAAGTTGCGAGATGGTGCGCAGTAACACGGTGACGTGGCTGTGTCTCCTTACCATCTGCGCTAACAGGGTAACCGGGGCGCACTCACGACGCCTCAACAATCACTCGTTTAAGGCGTTTAAGTATAAAAAATACTACTTACCATTAGATACGCGGGTTTCTGGTTACCAACTTACGCTCCTCCTGCGACGCCGCGTACGATGGATTTTAGGAGAAACTGGTTACCACTATGGCTTTAAATCGTTATGGTCTACGCAAAGACTCACACTCCTCCTGCGACGCCTCCGGCGATCAGCGATTTCGTGATCGACGCCACCGTCAATCGCGGCTCCACTTTCTCCGCTGCGCCGGCTCCGCCTTCCCCCGCGCCGGGCTCTCCGGCGGGAGGCACGGGCGGAACGAGCTCCTCCGCGAATCCGATCGTCGACGACGGCGGCGGCTCGTGAACGGACGGATGGATTTCCGCCGCGACTGCCGCCGCTGCAGCCGCTGCTGCTGCTGAAGGAGCCGCCGCTGCCGCCACAACCGCCGCCGCCGCCGCTGGCGGGGCAGCAGCAGCGGGTTGGCATTGCGCGATCCGCCCGGATCCTGCGGCGGCTGCGGCTATGGCAGCTGTGATGGCGCTACGAGCATTGAGAAGGAACGGTGCTGCGAATGCTGAGCCAGACTGAGGGGTTCGGGAGCTAGGGTTGGCGATGGAAGGTCGGGTGCGGTGGTGATGGGTGAAGGACGGTGGATCGTTAACGGTGTGACGGGGGGATCTGGTTCTGGAATGCGGAAAAGGCTGGTGGTTCGATGGATCCATGGCTGCGAATTGCCAAGCTTGCGAAACGGAGGACGCGCGACCCACTCCCGGTAGCGAGACTAGTCGAACCTCACGACGCCTTCGACGACCGTTCAACGACGCACGATATCGCGGCGCAAGTGCTAACGGCAGTCCCTGTCAAAGCCTCTGAAAGAAATGCCGGTAACAACCAGACTGTGAGTCACAGCAAGACCCCTTTTCGAGTCAAGAATCGCAGCAATTGGATCCACTAGAGGATCGGCAGGTGTGGGCCCCTGCTCCAGTCCTATCTTGAAGCAAGAAGTCCCGGAGACAACCCCCGACACGAATCTCCGAAGTGGGACACGACGGCCTCCCTCTCAGAAACAGCCCCAGAAACATATAAGGGCTTTGAAGAGGGAATGCAGAAGAAAATTGCACCTAGGAAGATTTGTGGAGCAGGCAAGCGGGTGTGCGAGCGAGAGGTGAGGAGGGAGTCTCGGGAGTTTCGGGGCTTGGTGGGGGAGGAAAACCTCCGGGCAGATGAGGGCTGAGAGAAATAAAAGCAGGGCACTTTGAATACACCAAAATACTGCTTGCGTTTAGCAGCCCGAGTTGATTGTGTTTCAAAGACCAATGCCACGCAGTTACATCCTGCCCGGATGGTTGTACCCGCCAATCAATATCTCCAAGCTTTCAGGTTCGAGCTGCCCGTCACCCAATCCAAGCTGTGTGTGGTGCAAAGCACATGCACACTCTCGTGGTGTCCAGCTCACGCGACGCGAAACCCGTCGGAAAACGATGAACCACAACAACCAATCAGAACTTCAGACCCAACCTTGCCCAATCCCCATCGCCCATTTTCCAACGGCCCCAATCCAAGCCAGGACACTTCGAAGACACCTTCCACGGTCGACCACGTGCTCCAAGTCCTGACTGGAAAATCTGCCAGCACAACTCATTTCAGTAGCATACATTTGTCCAAGCAAAAGCTCTTGGCCCATACAGGTCTCGAACCTGTGACCTTCGCGTTATTAGCACGACGCTCTAACCAACTGAGCTAATAGGCCGATGACAGTTCTTCTAACGCCAAAGTTCTGTTTTAAACTTCCAGTGCTGTCTCCTCGTCTTTACACTGTAGTTATCAATCACGCTGCACTCATGGCGGACGAAGACTACGGCGGAGGCGACGACTTTGGCGAAGATTACGGAGGGTAGGTGCAAGACGCCGAGGTTGGGTCTGTTAGGGTAGGTAGCATAACACGTACTCTAGGGTTTAGCTCGTCTACGCAGGTCTAGGTTTTGCGATATCGGAGCTAAGTTGTTAGTTTGCCGTACCTGTGCCTGTGAAGCAGCTTATTGGATGAGCCGTTTCTCTATATCCTTTTCTTTTCGCATCAACTAGCTTGAACAACCAGACCCTTCCTGACATCGTTCGTAACGTTCGAGGCTTATACTCTATGTGTCACCATCGTTTGACTCCCTCGTTTTTGTAACAATTGCTGACGTGGGTTGACGTGGCTTGACGTCGTGTAACCTGGCCTGATTGCGTGACGTGGCAGGGACTATGAGGAGCCCGAGGTGGCCGAACCAGAGGTACGTGCTTCCTGTCGTCCCCCTCGTCACATCCGCTGCTGGTCGTGTCTTGACTTTCCCGTCTCGCGGTCCTGTCATGTCTGCACACCAAGAGTTGGGGTCCGTCTTTTGAGTCGACTCAAAAGCCAGCTCTGTCGTCTCCCTCGTTACATCCGCTGCCGGTCGTGACTTTCCCGTCTCGCGGTCTTGTCATGTCTCCACACCCCAAGAGTCGGGGGCCGTCCGTCTCTCACCGCTTTTGAGGCGCCTCAAATGTCGTCTCCCTCGTTACATCCGCTGCCAGACGTGACTTTCCCGTCTCGCGGTCTTGTCATGTCTCCACACCAAGGGTCGGGGGCGGTCTGTCTCTCACCGCTCCATCGCTCCACGTCCTTTCATTCCTCCGTCGCTCCATCGCTCACGAGGAGGCAGGGGAGGAAGGCGGCGAAGATCACGTGGGAAACTTTCCGAAATGTTTTCCACTCCGGAAATGTCCCACTTTCGAAAAGTTTCCCCACCCTGTTTTACCCAACCCAACCCTTTTAAAATCGCTCAGGAGGAGGCAGGGGAGGAGGGCGGCGAGGATGGCGAGGGCGAGCGCGACCTGATCGAGATTCGCGACGACGACGGCGGCGGAGGCGGGAAGAAATCGGACAAGCCGCGCAAAACGACGAGATACATGACGAAATACGAGCGCGCCAGGGTGCTGGGTGCGCGAGCTCTCCAGATCAGGTGAGGAAAGGCATTCGACAGGCAGGCATTGCAAAACGGCGAGATACATGACCAAATACGAGCGCGCTCGTGTGCTGGGTGCATGAGCCGTGCAGATCAGGTGAGTGCTGCTGGGGTGAGTTCAGGGAGGATGTGGGGGAGGGGGAGGCAAGAATGTTGAAGGTAAGGGAGAGGGGAGGAGGAGGAGGGGGGAGGGGTGAGTACGATACGAAGTACGAGTGAGTCATAGTGCAGGGTGCAGGGTTAAGGGTAGGGGTTTAGGGTGCAGCATGCAGGGTGCGGGGTACAGGGTTAAGGGTGGGGGTTTAGGGTGCAGGGTGCAGGGTGAGGGGTCAGGGGGCAGAGGATAGGGGGTTGGGTGCAGGGTGCAGGGTGCGGGGTGCAGGATTTTCAGGTCCTGCACAGGGACCAAGGCGTCGAGTACACCTGTCATCCTCCCACCCACCTCTTGACTCTTGACCCAACTCCCGCCCTTCCCTGCGCCTCTTGTTCCCAGCATGAACGCGCCTGTGATGGTGGAGCTGCATGGAGAGACCGACCCTCTCGAGGTATGGCATGCCACGTGTCTTAAACCCGAAGCCCTAAACCCGTTGCGGCCATAATGAGCTCTGCTGCATGGGGAGACCGGCCCTCTCCAGGTATGTCAGCACGTCACGTGTCTTGCCTGTGCGGCCATAATGAGCTCTGCTGCATGGTTGCCCATTTTGGGTGCTTCCATGCTTTACCCCTTTCCCCTGCTGTACGGCACACCTTGTGCTGTTTACTTTGTTGAGTACGATGAGTGTCATTGGTGTTTTGATGATGCCATTAGTGTCATGTCATAGTGTCATGTCATTAGTGTCATTATGATCTCATGCCTGTCACGCAGCCGTGAAACTTATTGCCTCTTGTCATGTCATATCGCCTCTTGTCAAGGTACCCCATTCCACTTTTTTCCTGTCAGTCATGACATGTCATGTGCGTGTTATTTCAAATGTGTTGCTTTCCCACCCCTTCAATAGATTGCCATGCGCGAGTTACGCGAGAAGAAAATCCCTTTCACCATTCGGAGATATCTGCCTGATGGAAGGTGCGTGCGGGCATGCACATTGTGTTTCCATGATCTGCATTTCCAACAAGGATGCAATTTTTTACACTGTTTGAGGGCTTTGCGCTGCACGCTACGTGTTGCTTGAGATCTGAGGTTAGAATTGTAACCTTAACCTCAACAGGCCGTGTGAACCCTCGGACTAGCCATTACCCAGATTCTCTAGTTTGAGTTTGTTTCTCTTTTCATCTCCGCACTGCTGCAGCTACGAGGACTGGGGTGTGGACGAGTTAATCATTGAGGACACGTGGCGGAGACAGGTGGGAGCCAGCTGAGTTGGCCCTGGTCTCCAGTACTACGGTATCTGCTTCAACTGCCTACCAACTGCACATCGCAGTTCATCTCAGCCAAATTGTCTCACACAGTTGTACAGTTCTCTAGCCCTAACAAAATTTGAAACTTCTGAAAGTGCACTCGGATTATACAGTAGAAATTATATACACAATTTTGTTACGTCTCAATGCTAAAACCTAAAATCAGTTCGGCATTTTGTGCAGTATCCTTTCTACCTGCTTTCTCCTCTAGCAACTCTCTCAGTGAATCAATTTGGCACTCCAGAAATTGTCTCACTAGTGACTGTCTGCCTGCTTCCTCCTAGACCAGATCCAGACCTCTTCAGTTTCTCCCCAGCATCGCTCACTCCAGGCTCCAGCTCCGTCACTGCAAACCCCTTGGCCCTCAGATGCGACGAGTGCTTCTGCTCCTCACCCCTCGCCTCCATCAGGCTGGTGGGAGAAAACGACTCCAATGCCAGCAAAAAAAGGAAAAATCACGCAAATCAGTTTGGCATTCCAGAAATTGTCTCACTAGTGACCGTCTGCCTGCTGCCTCCTAAACCTGATCCAGGCCTCCTCTTCAGTTTCTCCTCAGCATCACTCAATCCAGGCTCCAACTCCGTCACTGCAAACCCCTTGGACCTCAGATGCGAGGAGTGCTTCTGCTCCTTCTCACCCCTCGCCTCCATCAGGCTGGTGGGACCGCCTCCTGGGGTTGGTGCTGCTGACTCAGCTGCTTCACGTGTCAGGTCGTCACTGGTGGCTGGGGAGCGATCCTCGTTGGGAGTCATGTTGGGGTTCTTAGGATGACCTGGGGTACACAGGGCCATGAAGGTACACAGGCACATGGACAGAGGGAAGGGTTGAAAATCCCGTGTCTTACGCAGTGAGCAGTTTAGAAACGCAAGAGCAAGCGAGGGAGGTGCAAATGTGAGGACATTAGAAAGGGAAGTGGCTGTCAATTAAGCTCATCCACTTCCGTACCTGCTTCAGTCGTCTCCCCTATTCCAACTCCGAACAACCGCGCTCCAGATACTACCTGCACGGACGAGGAATGCACAGCAAATAAATAATAGGCAGTAAGCAATATGCCAATCGAGTCATAATCTGCAATCGCCGCATAGGAACTGAAATATTATGCTCCTTAAAAACAGGAAATGCAGCGTGAAAAGCGCTCTGGAGAATAACGCACCTGAAGATTTCGCCGCAAAGCCAGTAAGGCGAGGCGATTTACAGGTAGCATTTTTCCCGTTTCACGACAAATCACAGGTGTAGAGAGGACGAACGATAATACGCGACTATGTTTCCGAATCATACGCGCTCGGCTGAGACGAAAACGATCGTAAAGCATAAGGTGGTCGTTCTCCGAGGAAACGTCAAGACACGAGAGATCCTTGGCACGCCTGGCTGATCAAAACTGTCACTTGAATAACCATAACAATTTCCACAAATTCCCGCCACGTAATTCTTGGAGCCGACAGCGGAGATTGAAGCCATCTCCAGGGTCTGCGTGCTGCATGTCGAAAGGTTGCCTTTGAAAAGTAGGCGTTTCAACGTGTCGTACTTGCGTGGTTACAGCACGCAACTCCCAAATAGCGGCCGCCATGGCGTGGCACTAGCGCCATGCATGCTTGTGGGATGCTCTGGTTTTGTATGGTCTGGACCATACCAGAAGCGTTTGTTTTGGACAGGGGACAGTTTTGCACGAGGGTCGCGAAAAGAAATCAGAGTTACCTAATATCGCATGCCTAGCGAACTACAGTACAGCGTCGCACAGACGAAGAGTTTTTCGCCGATGGGTTGTTCAGGCACATAGACGGAAAAATTGCGCGACGCGACAGGCGCCGAACTTCTCTCAATCCCATCGACCAAGCTCGCACCGCAGGTAGGGCGATCCGAACCTCGGCCAAATGGATCTACCTACATGCGCTTTTGCGATAAAGACAGAAAATTCTGATGCGTAAGAGTCGGTGGTCCCTCTCGATGTCATTGTTTCGGAAGCGCGATTATGTTTGGCGCGCGTGCCACGTTTCTTGTTTACTGAAATATATATTGCGCGGGCAAGAAAAAAATAAACCCGAGCCTCAACCCTAAAATTTTAGGGTTGAGGCTCCCGAATGGCATGCCGTAAGCCATGGGGTTTATTTTGTTTGCCCGCGGTCAGCATGCTGACTCACTCGGTTGCGTCGTGTAGCGAAACCAAATATATATGTTGGAAGAATCGGAACCTCAAGCTGTAATTTCGCGATTCTGACCGTAAAACCAAATGGCACCTGTAACGCCTAGTTACCCGCGTTTGCAGCATAGAAATAACGTGAAAGCGCATGTAGGTCGATCCATTTGGCCGAGGTTCGGATCGCCCTATCTGTGGTGCGAGCTTGGTCGATGGGTTTGAGAGAAGTTCGGGATCTGTCGCGTCGCGCAATTTTTCCCACATGGACTGATTGTGTTTCCTTTTGGGAGCATCGCTTCTAGCACCTCTGATTACAGGAAATTTCTTTTCCAAGAAATGCGGCAAGTTTCGGTCGGTATGGAATTCGTTTTCGCCCAACCAGTTTCGTGCAGGCTGCTGCTCCCCTCGAACCACACTGGGCGGCAGCCACCTGTCAGCTTTTGACCAGTTGATTGACATCATCATGCACAGGCGGGAAAATCGGATGACCAGAAGAACTCCCCTCCATCAGCAGCCTCGATCAATGGGAGAACTATAGCTGACGACGTCATGTGCGACCACATACGCTCGTCCCGCCGACCTGACGCACTTCCTCTCTCACTCAATTCCCTCGCCACAACGCGTCGCCAATGCCCTCAACGACGTTTTCAAGTTCTGTCGTCGTCGCCGAGGAGTTCCCTGTGGTCACCTGTGTGTGACTCCACTTCAGGCGAGGTGTATCCCAACTCGTTCCAGTTTCACCCATTCAAAGCGGTTTTCCCTCGGTTTAATACAGTTCGTAACTGGATTTTGGAAGTGACAAAACGTTTCAGTACGGTCCTGGAGTGATTGTCTCCAGATCAGGAAACTTCATTCTGTCAGATGTGCTGGAGTGATTGTCTCCAGCGCTTTTCCCCTCACTCCCATATGTGCTGTTGAGCTGCTGTTAGCCAGCAGAGCACAGCGGGGGGCAGGCCCAGGAAGGAGAAGACTCGGACTTCACACGGCTTGGGCTTGAGCTGGCAGCGTAGTCCTGCGTTTATTTCCGTACGCTTCTAGCTTCATCAAGCGATTCTTGCGTGGCACTAAGTTGTTACTTTTTGTTTCTGCACGCCTTCAGTTACGGTTGTTGCAAGTTCGTGCTGATCTTGCATCGGCTTACAGTCACCATGGCTCGCTACGTGTTGTTCTTAGCTTTATCCTTCACGCTCGCGTGGTGTTTCCAAACTGCGTCGGCTCGCTTCGTCGTCGAGTCGCACAGCCTAATTATCAATTCTCCAGACAAGATCCGTGGCGAATATCTCAGCGCCATAGCTAATTTCGGTATCCCGCAGTACGGCGGCTCGCTGCAGGGCACGGTGGTCTACCCATCGAAATCGTCCGACATGTGCAAGCCGTACAAGGGGAACGATCTCGCGACCAAGGCCGGCGGCATGCCGAATATCGTCCTTGTCGACCGCGGAGGTGCGATTGGTTCTTGATATTTGACCTTGTATTGGTTTTTATCTTCTTTTCTTTTTCCTTCCACGTCTGCTCGGCTGCGAGCAATTACCACATTCATTCATTCATCCGACCATCTTTTTCCATCATATCGTTTTTAGGTTCATCGTTCAGAATCATTTGTTGTACGTGTCTCTAACTTCACCTTATAGGTGTTACAATATTGAAAAGGCTGGAACGTCCGCCGTGATGAATGCGAACGATAAGGATGAGAATACTCTCATCATATAACACTGCCGAGGACCTTTAGGACGGGTTTTCGTTATTTACGTGTCGCTCACGTTACTCTATTCGTCAAGTTATGCACCGACGTCAGGCTGCTACTCATTAAGGATTTGATTATGGACAGCTCCCATTGTTTACGTGTCTTCCACGTCACCCTATCCCTCAACGCATGCCGCGACACCAGGCCGCTACTTCACTGCAAGGTCCTTAGCGCGCAGGATGCCTGCCGGCGTGTCCGCCGTGATCGTCGCGGACGACAAGGCCGAGAACCTCCTCACCATGGATACTCCCGAGGCCACTCAACGGTACCATCCCCATGCGCCTCTCCGTACTACTCCTACCCTATGCGCCCCTCTTGTCACTCCAGGTTGCTATTTCACGGACAAGGTGTACAACGCGCAGGAGGCCGGCGCGTCTGCCGTGATCGTCGCGGACGACAAGGACGAGAACCTCCTCACTATGGACACTCCCGAGGACGACCCCGACGCGGCGCGCATGGTCGACAAGATCACGATCCCGTCGGCGCTGGTCCAGAAATCGACGGCGGATCTGATCAAAAAGGGGCTCAAGAGCGGTCCGGTTATGGTTTCGTTGGATTGGCGGGAAGCGCTGCCGCATCCGGACGAGCGGGTGGAGTACGAGTTCTGGACCAACAGCAACGACGAGTGCGGGCCCAAGTGCGACGACCAGGCGGAGTTCCTGGACGCGTTTAAGGGCTACGCGGTAATGTTAGAGCAGGGCGGGTACACGCTGTTCACGCCGCATTACATCACGTGGTACTGCCCGGAGGCTTATCTGGAGAGCCGGCAGTGCAAGACGCAGTGTATTAACGCTGGGAGGTACTGCGCGCCGGATCCCGAGGAGGATTTCGACGTGGGGTATGACGGGAAGGACGTGGTGGCGGAGAATCTGCGGCAGCTGTGCGTGCACCGCGTGGCGAACGAGACGCACGGGTCGTGGCTGTGGTGGGACTATGTGACGGACTTCAAGAAGCGCTGCCGCATGGCGGACAAGACGTACGGGCCGGAATGCGCGGAGAGCATCATTACCGCCCTGGGTATGTGGATGTGGGTGTGGGTTCGTGGGTCCGGGTATGTGGATGTGGGTGTGGGTGCGTGGTTTTGGGACATGCGCACAAAAAGCGTAGGTAGTACCTGTGGGAGCGCGGATGTGAGGCTGTGAGCTACCCAAAGAAAGCGGGGATAGGATCTGGTAGGTTGTGCGTGCACTTCTGTCCGTGCGTCCTTGTACACAAGGATCGCATGGCGAATTAGCTGATAGGGCCAGGGTGTGCCGAAGGCACCCCGTGTCATTGTAGCGTTGTCGCTTTTGTTCGCCGCCTGTGCCATGGGAACCTTTCGGCCGCCGTCTGCATTAAACATGGCTCGCTGCCCCCGCCCTTTTTCATTTCTTAGAAAGGACTCGAACCCCTGTACTGCAAATTCCCACAAGTACCCATCATTCCCCTCCCACCATCCCCCTCTCAAGTCCCCCTTTCCCCGTTTCCCCATCTCTCTTTCCGCCCGTCCTGCTTCCCCCGTTCCCCCGTTTCCCCCGTCCTGCGCTCCCGGTCCTGTCTCTTCCCCGCACGTTGCGCAGGGCTGGACGTGGCGAAGGTGCGCGAGTGCATGGGGGACCCCACCAAGGACGAGGACAACCCCGTGCTCAAGGCGGAGCAGGAGGCGCAGGTGAGGCATGCGCGGAGATGGAGAGAGGTGGTTGGGAGGTGGATGCGCAGTGGTATGAACAACCCCGTGGTCATTAGAGTGACCCCACAAAGGACGAGGACAACCCCGTGCTCAAGGCGGAGCAGGAGGCACAGGTGAAGCATGCTCTGAGGGGGAGAGAGGTGGTTGGGAGATGGAGGGGCGGCTTTATGAATGAACTGGGTAGAGTCACCCCACCAAGGACGAATAAAACCCTGGGCTCAAGGCAGAGCAGGAGGCGCAGCTGAGGCGCAGGTGAGGTGCATAGAGGGAAGGGGTCGGGTTGGGGGGGAGTGGTATTATTATATTATTGCACTGGGTCACTGAAAAGGGCGAGCCGCCCAAGGACGTTGACTTGTCTTACTTATAATATATTTCTTCCGTTTTGCCAATGCGTGTGTGGTGTTTTGTCGGTGCAGATTGGCACGGGCGACCGTGGCGATGTTACCATCCTGCCCACCGTGATCATCAACAACAAGCAGTACCGCGGTGAGTGGAGTGAGGGCGGGAGGGAGCGGGGGAAGAGAGATTTGAGGGCGTACAAAACAGACTAGGAGCACGGCGATGTTACCATCCTGCCCACCGTGATCATCAACAACAAGCAGTACCGCGGTGAGTGGAGTGAGGGCGGGAGGGAGCGGGGGAAGAGAGATTTGAGGGCGTACAAAACAGACTAGGAGCACGGCGATGTTACCATCCTGCCCACCGTGATCAACAACAAGCAGTACCGCG